TGGGGGGGGGGGGGGGGGGATCCCTGCTGGGAGCGTTGACTGACGGTCACCACTCTCTGCAGGAGGAGATCGGGACATTCACTCAGTCCCTGAACAATAGAGCCGATGTTTGACAGCTTCAGTGTTGCACGTCAGCTCTAATTATGGGGATGGGTGTAATTCGCTCTCCCCATAATTCACCTTTTAACTGTCCAGAAATGACAGTGGTTCTGCTGGATCCTGAAACTTCAGAAATCGTTATCTGCACTGATGTAGAAGTCTCACCTGCAGCAAGGAAGGTAGATCAATTTCTGTTTTGGAAAGAACTTCATTTCAGCCTTGTCTGCTGTGTACATTTCAGGTGTAGACAATTGACAGGCAGATTTCCTCAACTATTCCTCAGATTTGCAAGGCTGTCCCAGTTGAGGTGCCCATACACCTTACAATTATCTGCAGATTTTCTGTGGTCAGATGGAAAAAGTGCAACAGATTGGGCCAGGTGGAGATTACTCCATCCACACAGTTAAGTAGATGGACGAATCTGTTGCACCTTTACCATCTGACCACAGAAAATCTGCAGATAATTGTAAGGTGTATGGCCAGCTTTGGACTGTTTTTAGATGTCCTGAAGGTTAAAGACTTCCTGTGTCCTTCAATGGCCCAGACAGAAAATTAGATTTTTGTATTCACCAACAAATCCTTTTGCTGGAGTACACTGAGTTACACAGGTCCCATTCCTTGGAGTACATTGAGGGACACCCCTCTATGTTTGATTATGCTCTCCGTACTGCTTTGCTGCAAAACTGAAGCATGCTAATAGTAGGAGGTTATCCTGAATTGGCCGCCAGTTTTTTTGGGGGGGGGGTTTGATTGCCAGTGTCCAGTTCTTCTCTAGGCGGCATTATAACCTGAAGGTTAAGACTTCCTGTGTCCATCAATGGACTTCAAGCAAATAATTTTCTTTTTTTCTGGCTAGAATTCATTTTTAAACAAACCATTTTCTATAGTTTTAAATGACAAGACATTTTTATCTCTTGGAGGGCCTAAATAAACTTAGAGAATTTTAGCAAATCCTTTTTTGTTCACTTTTACACACACACACACACACACACACACACACACACACACACACACTTCCTCCAGGTCCAAGAATATGTCCACGCTATAACTGAATAAAATGAATTCACTGTCCCCTTAGGGTCCACGGCCGGCCTTGTTTGTCCCAGAAGTGTCTTTTGAGTTGCTGGTGAAGAGACAAGTGAAACGCTTGGAAGAGCCGAGTCTGCGGTGCGTAGAGCTTGTCCATGAGGAGATGCAGAGGATCATCCAGCATTGCAGTAATTACAGCACACAGGTAATTGTACACATCAGGGTACAGATATTCTGCATTCAGGATGTATTCTGATGCTACGCGATTTGTGTTATGTATGGTTCGTTTGACATTTCTCATTTCACTCCCTTTTGCAGGAGCTGCTGAGATTTCCAAAGCTACATGATGCCATAGTTGAGGTGGTGACTTCACTTCTGCGGAAACGCCTTCCTGTAACCAATGAGATGGTAAGATGCGGAGCTGCTTCCTGACTTTTAAATTGCCTCAATCTTTACTATGAAAGTTCAGTAATATTTTCACACCTTACAAATTCAAAAACGTAAATTATACTTGTTATGGTTTCTGGGCTTTTTGTCATTTCTTAATCACATGTTCTCTTGTAAAGGGTCTGTCTCTTCCATTAAAGAGAGGTATCGATACTAGAGGTAAGGCTGAAAGGGCTGGATACCAAAGCTGCAGATAAAAATCCCAGAGAGGTCATTGGGTAAAGTGTTATAATGCAGATTTGTTTACATTAAAAAAAATTGTTGTTTGGCTATTTTTTTAAAAAAAACGTTGTTTATTCAGAAATTCTGTTCAAGAGGGAAACCAGGTCTTTCGATGAATAGGCCTCTACTAGGGATTTTTCATTAGTTTTGGTCTATCATTGTTTTGGTCTATCATTGTTTTGGTCTATCATTGTTTTGGTCTATCATTGTTTTGGTCTGGACTCTGTTTAGGGTCTCTGAATCAGGAGAATCCTGAAAGTGGGCCCAAGTAAAAACCGATAGGTTTCCAGAACTGGCACCCAGCAGCAAGTGGGACATATGGACGCTTGGTGAAATTTAGGAAAATCCCTTCAAAGTGAAGCTTTTGGCTAAATTCCAGGCAAACGTGGTTGAAATGTAGTTCAGCTTCAAATCTGTGTTGGTGTATCTAAATGAGGAAAATGCAATTAAAATAAAACTAAATGGAAATGTTTTGAGATCTTCTTCTGTCCGTACTATACTGGATGTATTACTATGTCGGGTCTTTTCATACAGGTACACAATTTGGTGGCCATTGAACTTGCCTATATCAACACTAAACATCCAGACTTTGCGGATGCCTGTGGTCTGATGAACAACAATATAGAGGTGAGGAAGGGGCACAGTCTTCTCTTCTAGCTTGTGGTAATAATAACAAATTTTAATGTATAAAATATTTAATTTTTCTGTAACGTTTAGGAACAGAGGAGGAACAGATTAGCCAGGGATGTGCCACGGCCTTCAACACTTACAGATAAGGTGAACACTGTGAAAATGTCAAGCATGTGTGAATGTGGTATATTGTATACTAGGAATAGGAGGATCCATTCATTTGCTTTGCTTTGTTGTCCTTTACATAAGTGTTCATGCAGAAATCTGCCCACAAATGAATCCCTCTGATTTTGGAGGCGTATTCGGGGTTCACATGCCCTTGTAAGTAATTTTTAGTTAAGAGGTTTCCACGTGCGGCCATCCAAATGTTGCAGAAGTTAAGTTGCATCATGCTCTGGGATCTCCTACTGGGTACTTGCAGTTACTCAACAGTGGGTAGGTTAAAGGAGAACTATGGGGTCAGTGTTTTTCCCCATAGTTCTCCTTAGGGTAATGGGAGGACACAAACTAGCGTCCTCCCGTTACCCTAAGCTCAGTATACCGCGAGCTACAGCTCGCGGTATACTGAGACGCCGCAGCTGAAGCGGATCCTGACAATTGTGCCAGGATCCGCCCAGCTGCATGAGTGACAGCTGGCTCTGCCTATCTAGAGGCAGAGCCAGCTGTACCCGCCCCCTCCCTCGTCCGTTCCGCCAGTCAGCGCTGGCGGATCGGAGCGGGGAGAGGGGAATCCAGCCCCTCCCCTGTCACGGCAGAGAGCCGTGACAGGATCGAGAGGTGAGCGAACCCGGTATCTGTTCGCTCACCTCCCGATCTACTGAGCCGACCTGTGACAGTCTCATTGTCACAGGTCGGCTTAGAACTATGAAAATATAGAGGTGAGGAAGGGGCACAGTCTTCTCTTCTAGCTTGTGGTAATAATAACAAATTTTAATGTATAAAATATTTAATTTTTCTGTAACGTTTAGGAACAGAGGAGGAACAGATTAGCCAGGGATGTGCCACGGCCTTCAACACTTACAGATAAGGTGAACACTGTGAAAATGTCAAGCATGTGTGAATGTGGTATATTGTATACTAGGAATAGGAGGATCCATTCATTTGCTTTGCTTTGTTGTCCTTTACATAAGTGTTCATGCAGAAATCTGCCCACAAATGAATCCCTCTGATTTTGGAGGCGTATTCGGGGTTCACATGCCCTTGTAAGTAATTTTTAGTTAAGAGGTTTCCACGTGCGGCCATCCAAATGTTGCAGAAGTTAAGTTGCATCATGCTCTGGGATCTCCTACTGGGTACTTGCAGTTACTCAACAGTGGGTAGGTTAAAGGAGAACTATGGGGTCAGTGTTTTTCCCCATAGTTCTCCTTAGGGTAATGGGAGGACACAAACTAGCGTCCTCCCGTTACCCTAAGCTCAGTATACCGCGAGCTACAGCTCGCGGTATACTGAGACGCCGCAGCTGAAGCGGATCCTGACAATTGTGCCAGGATCCGCCCAGCTGCATGAGTGACAGCTGGCTCTGCCTATCTAGAGGCAGAGCCAGCTGTACCCGCCCCCTCCCTCGTCCGTTCCGCCAGTCAGCGCTGGCGGATCGGAGCGGGGAGAGGGGAATCCAGCCCCTCCCCTGTCACGGCAGAGAGCCGTGACAGGATCGAGAGGTGAGCGAACCCGGTATCTGTTCGCTCACCTCCCGATCTACTGAGCCGACCTGTGACAGTCTCATTGTCACAGGTCGGCTTAGAACTATGAGGTAAGTGGAAATCACTCATCTCATAGTTCTCCTTTTTAAAGGTTGCCCATTCGTCTTATAGATGATGCTAAAAAAGCTCTATAGAACCATGCAGTGCAAAGGAATGGGGAGAGGGAGGGGTCAGCTGTGTGTATTAATATTATGCTATGTGCATTTAGCCGTCATGTCTTTGTACACACACTCTGTACACACAAATTCCTAAAGCTGAATTTTATTGTGGTTATTGGCTTTTTAGGAGTGTACTTGGTGTGCAAGGTGTCACTCATGGATAATGCCAAGGTTGTGTAACTGCTACAGAATATAGCTGGCATTTAACCCCTTCATTCATATACAAGCCTGACTTTGAAGTGTATCTGTACCCAAAACGTTATTTTTTTTTTTTAAATTGTCCTTTGAAGGACACAGAAATTAAGAGACTGTTGGGTTATACTACTGCCCTCAGAAGGATTGGAAACTGGTAAACAAAAGAAATGGTAGGCCGGCCCAGGATAACCCCATCTACTCCCAGCATGCCTCAGTTTTTCACTAGTGTCCTGGGAAGATGGAGTTCTTTTCTCTGATCTGCTAAGAATAGTCCAACCTTTTTTGATTGCTGCTGTTTTTTCTTAAATCAAGATTTCTGTTATGTCGCTGCTGAGCTGGCATTTATATGCTGCTATAAAGATTGGCCTTTCCTTAGCCTGGCTTTGCAGTATGGCTTTTGCATATCCGGATCCTGCTAGACTCTATGTTGTGGCAATAGCCTCGAATGTGACCTCTAGCACTGGGCTCAGCATAGTGGTGCTTTCCAGACCTGCATATACTGGTAAACTGTGTAGTGTTATTAGAGCCCAGAGCTGTTGGAGGGTAGGAGTGCTGACATAATTTGCTGGGTGGAGTGTCGCATCTTTTTCACTGTTCAGGTGTGGGGGAGCACCTTCTTGCTGTTGCTCCTACTGCAATATATGTGGAACTCTCCTCGGTGAGTCTCTGCTGCCTGCCTACAGTGACTTGATCCAACACCGGCTTCCCGAGCAGCCGGGATTGTGAGTATCCTAAGACTTTGCCTCATACCCTGAGCATGTTGCCCTCCACCTTGTGGTGCAAAATGTCTGATTCTAGACACGCAGGGAACAGTCCCGCTGTACCTGATGCCTCCAGCGCACACTCTGGGATGCCTGCAGTGTCCCACCTGAGATGTCTGACACTGACCATCTGGGATTCTCCCCTCTGCTAGACTCTTCACCATCTTTGGAGTCTTCAATTTGGAGAATTTAACTGCACAAAAACTATTTTTCCCCGAAAAAGGGGATCCCACCACTGTTTCAAATTTTTTTGAAACAGTGGTGGGATCCCCTTTTTCGGGGAAAAATAGTTTTTGTTAACAAATTAATGGGGGACCCTCCATTATAAACAAATCAAAGCTTTATTGTAAATTTTATATATATTTAAAACCTTCCCATCCTGCAGTATATATTACAAGAATATAACTGCAGTCGTGCAGAATTTTATGGGCCATATAACACTACTGATTGAGGACCCTGACTGTAGAGGACATAAGCACTCCTGTGCGCCTTTCTCTGCAGAGTCTCTGTCCAATCTGCTTTCAGCATTAGTGGCCTCTGAGCCTTCAGTAGCCTAGATTCTGTTTCCACCTGAGAAGTCTGTCTACTGCCATTACTCCTAAACTTAGGGGCCATCTCTGCTCTTAAAGCGATGTGCACCACCTTAACACTGAAGGAACAGCCTGCAGCCTCTAATGGTGCTGTCCCCATTCTAGGCACCTTTAGACCCCATTCACACTGAGCGACATGGAAATCGCGCGACTTTGAGCGACGTCTTCCTATTGGGCTGTATGCAATCAGGAGCAATATCGCTCAAAATCGCTCTAAGGCCCCGTTCACATTGAGCGATTTATCGCGCGATTTTTGCAGCGATATCGCTCATATTTCCGCGCTATATCGCTCTATGTAGCTTCACCAATACATTTCAATGTAGCTGTTCACATCTCGTCGCTCAATATCGCTTGTAGCTCGTCGCTGGTAGCTTGTCGCTTCTACATGACCCTTTTTTAGAGCGATTTTAAACGATATTGCTTGTAAAGCTGATTGTAAAGCAAATATGTTGCGCTCGGTCTATGTGAACCAACTGCACACTAAAGTGTTAATAAACAAATCTGTGTAAAAATTACAACAATCCGTGTGAAAAAATTGATTCAAGTGGATTATTTACATATGACTAGAAGGTTCAACACACAAACATAATAATTAGAATAATAAAAATCAACACTGGAACCTTCAGAATTAGTGCCAGTGATCAACCTCATTGGTTCGGCATGTATATTATTTGTATAAATATTTGTGTTACTGCACTTAGATAGCCTCCTCTTCTCCTTTTTGAGAAAGTCATTGAACGAAACATGTCAAAGGAAAACCTGCCTTCATCTCTCTTAGCTGAGTGCTGCTAACCCTCAAAAGCTTGATTTTTTTCGTTGTTTCCGTAAGTGCATTTGAGTTCTTTTATGAAATAAATATTTGTGTTACTGCACTTAGATAGCCTCCTCTTTGTCTCCTTCAAATTTTTCCCTGGGGGACACCATTAGGTGAACGCCGCCATTCCGGGCGGCGAGGGATCAGGTGACCGAAGGAGAGACCCACGCCGGTACTTGACAAGGAGACATTAGAAGGGGTTGGAAAACCAGAACTTTAAAAGACCTCTTTAACAAGGAGCCCCTCTTGGGGAATTGTCATTGAATGTTTGGAGGACTGCCGGACAGATTGATCAAGTGTCACTGAGAGAAGGAAGTTGCCCTTTCTTAAAGTGCTGTTCGTTGGTTATGCATGTAATGATACATGCCCCTTGAAATGTCAGTTTCTTTGCTGTTATTATTTTAGAGTTTTGATTTATTTGCACGTTTTTTTTTGTTTTTTTTTTTTAGTATTGGAGGGCCACCACAGAGCCCCTCCTTCCTTTTCAAAGTTTGTTCACAGCTTGAATTAATATCACGATTTAAATTTTAGTTTTCTGTGTTGTTTTACTACACCGCTGGCCAGAGGTTCACGTGTTTAAAATATACATGCTGAACCAATGAGGTTGATCACTGGCACTAATTCTGAAGGTTCCAGTGTTGATTTTTATTATTCTTATTATGTTTGTGTGTTGAACCTTCTAGTCATATGTAAATAATCCACTTGAATCAATTTTTTCACACGGATTGTTGTAATTTTTACACAGATTTGTTTATTAACACTTTAGTGTGCAGTTGGTTCACATAGACCGAGCGCAACATATTTGCTTTACATTTGTTCACCTATACACATTGTTGCGGCTGGTCCAATCAGGTAGTTAGGCACGCATTCTGATTGCTCTATATTGCTCCTGATTGCATACAGCCCAATAGGAAGATGTCGCGCTCACTGTCGCGCGATTTCCATGTCGCTCAGTGTGAATGGGGTCTAAAAAAGGGTCATGTAGAAGCGACAAGCTACCAGCGACGAGCTACAAGCGATATTGAGCGACATTGAGCGACGAGATGTGAGCAGCTACATTGAAATGTATTGGTGAAGCTACATAGAGCGGTATAGCGCGGAAATATGAGCGATATCGCTGCAAAAATGGCGCGATAAATCGCTCAATGTGAACGGGGCCTTATGGCTCCTAAGACCACTAACAGATACACCCGCTGTTTGCATTTGTCCTCTATACAAACTGGAAAAATCCTGACTAGATCTTTGTACCTTCCAAGCGCTACCAGCCATGTACCCATTTGAGAAAGACTTTGTTAAAAAAAAGTGAGCTGCCTCTTCTGTAGATCCGGCAGTATCCTGTCTTAACAAAGCATCTGCCATCTCAAAGGAGGATGCACCTATATTTAAGCACCACACTGATCAAAAATACGGGGACAAGACAAGAAACTTTGTCCCTTGTTTGCCAGTGTCCAATCCTCCTGTAGAAGGCAATATAACCTGACAGTCTCTGAATTCCTGTGTTCCTGAATGGACTCCTTATGGATTTTACAAGAAGTACAGAAATCCCTTTTTTCATTTTGAATAGAATGGGAAATTTTTAGAACCCAGTTAGCTGTTGCTGTCATCTGGAGCTCCATTAGAGAGACTTTCTGGGATGTGTAATACAATATTTTATAGAACGGCCAAATGACTTGCCTTTCCTGGAGAAAAGGAAATGTTAGGCTCCATTGGCTGATGTCCACATGTCTGAAGGCTCAGGCACAGGCACTTGGTTATGTGATGTCTGCTCAAACAGGAGGTATGTTGGCCAGTTCTCTTCAGCAGAGATTATGCGAGTGCCCAGGCATTCAGGTATTTCGTTAGCACTAAAGAGAGAACAGAGCAGCATTTACTCCAGAAAAATTGAGTATTTTAGCCCTCCTTGTCTTTTTAGTAGGGATGCACAGATATCAGTTTTTCAAGTACGAGTATCCGATACTTTTCCTCAAGTACTCGCCAATACTAATGACCACTATCATCTTTTTTAGTGTCGTGTGACAGTTTTTCTAAAACAATACAGACTAATGATTTTAGAACAGTGGTGGAGCGCCAGGGCCCAGTAACAGCTGCACCCGCTACGACCCTGGCACTTCTGCCAGTGACTCCAAGCTGTAGAGGGGCTACAAATCTCAGCAATACATTATACAGTAATGCAGAATACCACCAGCGATTGGAGGACTACAAATCCCAGCAATACATTATACAGCAGTGCAAAATAATATGAAGCTACATACTCTCTGTTGCTCGCCAGTGCTGCGCGGCAGGTGCAGTCCCACCACGGCTGTTCAGGAGGTTGCGGGCGGCAGGAAGGAGGAGACTTGAGCTGTAAACAGGCGCTCCGAGGTCTCCAGCTCAATTTTAAAAATGTCAAGCGCCGGTATCGGCGTTTAGTATCAGGACTACTCGTGAAAATGGCCGGTATCTGTGCATCCCTACTTTTCCGCATCAACTTCTACTTCAGAATTGTGCACCTTCTCTTACATTTTTTTTTTTTTTTAAGCAGGTTTACGAAGATTCAGATTTACGTTTAACCATGGAAAGCCTGGTGTGTGTGGTCGCTTGTAAACTCCATCTCTTATTCTTTTTCTTTCTTTAGTCTACTAAACCTCCAGGGCCTTTGGCGTCCGCCTCCCTAGACTCCTGCCTCGCTTCTGCCTCTGAGGCTGATGGCAAGGTCTGTGCCGCTGTCTTTGCATTGCATGCCACCCTGTATGGTCGGGGGTCCTGCTGTGGCTGTATGTTGCTGTGTGAAGATCAAGGCTGTGTTTATAATGCATGTGCTGTCCCTTCCATCTCTGCCTGTGTGTCTGCTGTATGATGTGAGGCATGCAGAGGTCACATAGGGAGTCTGACTGCATGAGACACAGATCACCCCATCTGCAGGCTAAATCCAGATCCTTATCTGGATCACTGACAGGTATGTCAGCCAAAAAAGTTTTAAAAAAAAGACAGGAAGTAAGGGAAAATTTGAAAAAGTATAAATCTTGGAGAACTATGGGGTTAGGGCTTTTCCCCATAGTTCTCCGAAGGGTAACGGGAGGACACAAACTAGCGTCCTCCCGTCACCCTAAGCTCAGTATACCGCGAGCTACAGCTCAGGGTATACTGAGACGCTGAAGCAGCTGCGATTGTCTGGATCCGCCCAGCTGCGTGAGTGACAGCTGGCTCTGCCTATCTAGAGGCAGAGCCAGCTGTACCCGCCCCCTCCCCCGTCCGTTCCGCCAGTCAGCGATGGAGGATCGGAGGGGGGAATCCAGCCCCTCCCCTGTCACGGCAGAGAGCTGTGACAGGATCGAGATGTGAGCGAACACCGTTATGTGTTCGCTCACCTCCCGATCTACTGAGCCGACCTGTGACAGTCTCATTGTCACAGGTCAGCTAGAACTATGAGGTGAGTGAAAAGCACTCACCTCATAGTTCTCCTTTTTAACAGTTCTAACCTGTATTTGTTCCCGTCTGGAGTGCTGTTGGAAAGTTGCCCTCACTTCCTGTCTGGTAAAAGCATTGCCAGCAGGACAGGAAGTCGGGGAAATGTCTCTAATTGAGCTCTGGATAGCAGTAAAAATTGACAACATTTCTGATCCTTCCACTCTATCTGAAAATTAAAAAAAAACAACAAAGTTTGTGCTTGACATACAATTCAAAGTAAGAAATCTCTTTGGGTGAGTGGAAAACAAACCTCATTTTTTTATTTGGTAATCTCATTGAAGGGCTTTTAGGAAGCTATTGTAGAACTTCCCCTGCCTTTGCTTTGTGGAGATGAGCCATTACATTTTGAAAGATTTTTTTCATTATGTATTTTTTTTTATTGATCTTTAAATCTGAACTCCCGGTACAAAAAATGTATTTTAAATGTATTCCTCAATAGCCCCAATGGATAGAAATCCACTGTGTGTTCTAAATGTCTTTGCACACATAGATATTATGTATAAAAGTAGCAGTGACCTCATCACTGTGCTGTGCAGAGAACAGAGCTGTGGGAGGGGCCCAGCAGGCTCCACCCTCTACAGGCTGCCTGCATAAAACTACAGGAGGGGGCGGAGACTAGACCAGTCACCCTGCACAAGGAGAGAGAGCAGCAGTGACCGGTCTTTATTACAGGAAGCTCCAAGTGTCACACTGGATTACTGCACAGATCTAGAGGAAATACACAAAGATATAAGATTGCACACGGCTATGTAGAAGATATTTGTTTAGCCCAATTTTCAGCTTTCACAAAACTTGACTGTTCCTTTTTTATCTGGACTGTGAGCAGAATGCACGGGTTTTGGGTAGTAAATGATAACATCCAGATGAAGGAAATCAAAGAAGGGGAGACTAGGAACAGCCGCCTGCACTTCAGCTTGGGTGTGAGAATATTCCCCCCCCATTGGATTTCTGTGTCTTCCCTCAAACACACTTCAAGAAGTCATTTACACTACATGAGCCTGAAAATCCAACAGCGCTATCACCTGCTGCTGACTATGCAGTGCAATCCAGGTTCATTCTTCACGCAAAGCATCACTGTCATCCAAATGACCCAGGATGACATGATTTTTGTAATGTTGAACTCCAGGGAAACAGATGCACAACTCAAATACAGAAATGTGAACACTTTTAGTTGCCAAAAGATAATCAGGTCAGCCAGTCTTGTGATTTCCCCTAATAGCGTGTGCTCATTGGTCAGCACAGTAACATGACCGCACTGACCAATGAGAAGCACTTCTTCCTGGTCCTCTGCTCAGCATGGTCATGTGAATGCGGTCCACTGAGTGCTCACCAGTTGCAATCGATTTCAGCATTCTATACTGCTGGACTGGGGAGTCCGGTGTATGGACCATTGCACCGGCTGCCATGTAAGTGGTGTTCATTGTTTCACATTTTGTGAGAAAATGTACTTGCTCTTTAAAGAAAACATTATTACATGAGGACCTACATTCGACCTGGTGTTGGCCTCTTATCCCAGTACAGCAAAGCTCAGGCTGGGAGAGGAGGAAGCAGTGTGAGGAGCCAATTAGTTGTACTGCATTGCTCATTTGCTAACAAGGGGCATGCTAATAGGAGAGAGCAGACTGACAGATGAGCTCATTCGTTTGCCGTGTCTTCTTACACTGAGAGAAAGCTAGTCTTATGTCAGACAGAGCTGTGTAAATCTTAGGACTGGATGGATAGAAATACAAATCCCTTTGCAGGATTTTACAGCTCCCTTGTATGTTTTTCACCTCTGTATTTAGCTGTTTGTCTGGAGTTCAGCTTTATTGTAATGTTGCCAACTGTTTTGCTTCTCGCTTAAATGTCATTATGATTGCTGTTCTTGCAGACAGCTCCTCCAGGGGGCGCTGCAGATGTCCTAGATGCTGGGACTGGTAACTGGAGAGGGATGCTGAAGGCCTCTAAAGGAGAAGAGCAACTAGTGGAAGAGAGAAACAAATTTGTACCCATCCACCCGGCCAGCCCCCAGAGGGGCCACGCTCTGAACCTGCTGGATGTGGTGAGTGTGTAGAAGTGGATGGAGCGGGCAAAATGTTTTAGATTATGAATAAGACGAGAACAATCTTTTCTTTAAACTCTGACAGTTCAGTACAGTACTGACTAATGGGTTGTGATGGAGAGATGGTCAGGCCAGGATATGTGGGTTCGCCCCGGTGGCGTGCATATGACTGGGTGTCTCGGCCTCCCAGTCACAGCACTCAATACAGGTTGGCGGCGCTGTGACTACGGTCAGGAGAGTTTTTTCCGCCGTCCCTGCATCCACGTTCCTTTTTTACCCTACATGCATCTGGTTCCACGGGGTGGTCCTCCAAAGTAGGTACCTGGACGTGAGGCGGTGGGCAGGGACTTGGCTTTGACACCACAAGTGTGGCATGTATGTGGGGTTTGGCTGGAGCTGTGCGGGCCTTGTGGCAGGAATCCTCCTATTGCGGACCTCAGGGGGTCTGAGGTTTCTGTTGGCGGTGGGGGGGGGGTCTCTTCTGCCGCAGTCCCTCGGCCTGTCAGGCTTGGGGTAGGTGTCCTAACAGCATCTTCAAGAGGTCTTCCCTCCTCGATGCCTTGCTAGTGCAAAGCCTTTACCTGGCTTGCAGTGGTCCAGGTCGGTGCGGTGGGCGGCTCTGATGGTGGGAAGCTCCACGACCGTGGGTCTCCTGAATTTCGGCCGCCGGTGCTCGGGCGGCCGAAAATGTAGTCCCCGGCTTCACTTTGGGCCTAGCGGTAAGCCGCGGCCGCCAACTTGGATGTGGGCATCTGAGCCCTTCCATTGAGGTCGGTTCCGGTTTCCGCGGCTGTGGCGGTCCTTTTCATCGGAGGATCGCTGAGAGTGAGACGTGCTCCTACTCCTGCTTCTCCACAGGGGACAGGTCTGGGTGACCGGGAGTCGGACTGTTGCGGTTCTTCCACTAGCCTGCGGGGTCGTGACTACCTCTGGGGTCCTCTCCGCCTGCTGTTTTTTTTCTCTGGGGCAGTTTGGGTATGCTGGGAGTAGTGTACCATGGACTGTAGAGAAAAGTCGCCCGCGATACTATGTGGGGTTGTGAGCTTCCTTTGGAAAATGCTTCCCATTCCCCTTTATGTGCAGCCTGCACCCCTTTCCCAGTCTCCTTTACCACCCTCGGGTGCTGGGGTGGTCGGTGCCGTCGGCACCACCTTGTTCTTGGAGGCATTTTCATTTACTATGGACAGTTTTTGAACGCGCTTTGACGCAGAGACCCCCTAAGCAGTCGCTGGCTTTAACGGCGTGGCTGTTGAGAGCCAGGTGTTGAGGGACCGTGGTTTGTCTGATCCTATTACTTCCACGATGCTCAGGGCCGTGTCGCGGAAGATTTACCATCGCACTTGGAGGGCATACTTTGCCTGGTGTGAGATGGGTGGTCTGTCTCCGCGCCTGATCTCGGTGAACAGACTTCTTACTTTTCTGCAGCGTGGAGTGGATCATGGTGTGGCCCTGAGTACCGTGAAGGGCCAAATTTCGGCTCTGGCTGTTATTTTTCAACGACCATTGGTGTCAAATGCCTTGGTTCGCACTTTTGTACTGGGGGTTACATCTATTGTCTCCCTTGCCGCCTTGGGATCTCAATTTGGTACTCTCGGTTTTGCAGGAGTCTCCTTTTGAACCGTTACGGGAGATTCCTCTTCTGAGTTTGTCCCAAAAGGTGGCTTTTTATGGAAGCCTTTACCTCGGTTCGCAGAGTTTCGGAGTTGGCGGCCTTGTCTTGCAAGTCACCGTTTATTGGTCCTTCATAGGGACAAGGTTGTTCTGCGTCCTCGTCCGTCGTTATAACCTAAGGTTGTTTTCGGCGTTCCATCTGAATGAGGACATTGTCTTGCCTTCTCTTTGTCCGCAGCCCGTTCATAGGAAGGAAAGGGCGCTGCACTGTCTGGACGTGGTTCGCGCTCTTCGGGTTTATTTGGATGCGACTGCCTCTATCCGCGAGTCGGATTCCTTGTTTGTGGTTATGTAAGGGACATGCTGCGTCCTCGGCCACCATCTCTAGATGGATTCATAACACCATTGTTCAGGCGTATGCCATTCGGGGGCGTGAGCCTCCTTTTTTCTGTTACTGCCCATTCCACTAGAGCTGTTGGGGCAACTTGGGCTTTTAGTCATGGTGCCTCAGTTTCTCAGGTTTGTAAGGCCGTTACTTGGTCTTCCATTCACACCTCTGCCAAGTTTTATAAGGTGGATGTTTTGGCGTCTGCGGCTGCTGGCTTGGGGCGCAAGGTTTTGCAGTCAGCCCTTTAGTGGGGTCTTGTTGGGGTTTTTTTTTGTGCCCACCCCTCTCTTTGGTACTGCTTTGTGACGTCCCTACGGTACATGATCCTAGATCTGTTCCCTGTGTCCTTCAATGAACGGAAGAGAAAATAGGATTTTTGTACTCGCTGTAAAATCCTTTTCTCTCCGTTCATTGAAGGAAACAGGTCCTGCCCTCTCTGTTGGGTGTACACCACTAACTGCTTGTTACTTACTGTAGACTTGTCAACAGGTGGGGGGTTTGGCCACCAGCAGGGGCCGCCCCTAGGCTGGTTTAGTCTTTAGTTTTGTGCCTAGCCTCCTTCTCCTGCAGGTGGCGATATACCCTATGGTACATGATCCTAGATCTGTTCCCTGTGTCTTTCAATGAACGGAGAGAAAAGGATTTTACGTTGAGTACAAAAATCCTATTTTTTTAAAGCCATTTGTATTGGATGGGCTAGCAAAAAAAGCGGTTTCCATTTATCTACTTTAATGTTACAGCTAGGGCTGAAAACACGAATTGATTTAATCAATAATGAGAATTGTTGTCAATGCTTCTCATTATCGATTAGTTGATCTGGATCCCCTGCTACTCTCCTCGACGGTGGGAGCCAGTGTTTCATCAGCTCTGTGATCCCCAATGGGAGCAGCGGGGATCAGAGGAGACACAGACCCCTGCAACTGGTGCCCAGCAATGAGGAGAGCTCCGCCAAACCGACCCCCGCTGCTGCCGCATAAGCTTTGCTTCCGACGCTCAGCCGCTCTCTCCGCCGCACTGTGTGGTGCATGCTGTGGTCTCTGTTTCCTCCAATCCCTGCTGCTCTCCCCCACTTGTATAGCCAGAGCAGCGGGGATCGGAGGGGACACAGACCGCTGCAGCTGGCCCCAGTGGGGAGTAGCGACCGGCTGTCCAGGAAGAGCTCCGGTGACAGGCGGGAGGGGGCTCTGTTTAGACCCCTGATATTTCCCCAAAGACCCTATAAATAAAAATAAAATGTAAAGAAAAGTAAAAAGAAAGAGCCTACCCCCCACCCATACAAGAAACCGTGTTCATTCCAATGGCACCGGAACCCGCTGCACCGCAATGCTGTGCATTCTAGTGTGGCACGATTGCTAAAAATTTTGCATGCAAGTAATCTTTGTAACACTCCATTTGTGTATTTTATTTCCAATAAAGGGTAGTATTGAATTTTTTTTCATCTGATCGAAAAAATAATCGCCCATCTAATCAATTAGGAACATAATCATTACTTGCAGCCCTAGTTACAGCATATAAAGTAAATTGTGTGCTTTCAACCTTCCATATTTCTCCCTGTAAATGTTTTCCTTTTAAAGTGTATGTCTGGGCAAAATCAAGCAAACCTATTCAGTACCTCCCTGCAGTTCATTCCCCTTTTACCTGTTTTGTCTGTTTACACTGCAAGTATAAAGGTCCTGCCAAAAATCCAGTTATTTCCTAATGTGCTGTTTTTAAGCTGAGAGTACAGTGGCTTTGCTGAACTGCAATTCCAAGCAATGTTCCCAGCTCTGCCCACTCCTCTCTTGCTGGACCACAGAACCCCTTCCCTTTATCTCTAGCACATAGAGGGCATTCTGTAGTTCAGCACAGAAGAACTGGGCAGGGCTAACAACACTGCTTAAGATGTCAGTGCAGCAGAGGCACTGTGTTTTCATCAGTATGATTACTGTGGTCCATCTTTGGTCTCAGCACTCTGCTTCCAGAGTCCCTGGCATTAATGATATTTGTTGAGGGCCTTTCAGATGTCTTCATGTGGACTTTCTGGACTTCACGGTCATGCTGAACCCACCCAGATAATAGTGTTCTGTGCTCTAACTCTTGTGTATTTTCTTTGAAGCCTGTGACAGTTGCCAGAAAACTTTCCGCTCGTGAGCAGCGCGACTGCGAGGTGATCGAGCGACTAATAAAGTCCTACTTCCTGATTGTGAGGAAGAACATTCAGGACAGGTAAGGTGGTGGAGCGGGGTCAGAGTCTACTCTCCCATGTCATTGTTGGTGTGTCTCAATATTAATGAGCTTCTCCTTGCAGTGTGCCAAAAGCCGTGATGCACTTCTTGGTGAACCACGTGAAGGACACTTTACAGAGCGAACTGGTGGGCCAGCTGTATAAATCCATGTTGCTGGAGGACCTGCTCACAGAGTCTGAGGACATGGCCCAGCGAAGGAAGGAGGCTGCAGACATGTTGAAGGTATCAGCTTAGCTTTCTTGGTGTTATCCATGCAGAAATCCTCAGTATTGCAGACACACTCCGTTTATATTGTACGCTGATCTAGCAAAGCTGACAATGTCCAAACCTTAGATAATTGACCTCAACACCAAAGTTCAGGAAGTTTATGAACACACTTGATGACTACTTTATTGTCTCTCATCCATAAACTGTTCCTCTGCCTGGTAGTGCATTCCTGTCCTCTGCTATTTCAGTATCCTGTTTCTAGCTAATTGTTGGAGAAATAGTCTTCTTACTTTATGGTCTCCTCTGCTGCAGAGGCAAGAGCACCATGTGCTGGCATGGACATTATTGTCTCCTCTGCAGAGGCAAGAGCACCATGTGCTGGCATGGACTTTATTGTCTCCACTTGCTGCAGAGGCAAGAGCACCATGTGCTGGCATGGACATTATTGTCTCCTCTGCAGAGGCAAGAGCACCATGTGCTGGCATGGACATTATTGTCTCCTCTGCAGAGGCAAGAGCACCATGTGCTGGCATGGACATTATGGACTCCTCTGCTGCAGAGGCAAGAGCACCATGTGCTGGCATGGTCTTGTCTCCTCTGCTGCAGAGGCAAGAGCACCATGTGCTGGCATAGAGATTAATCTTAGAGTAGATGTAAACCCTGACTGAATGAGCCCATTCCTCTTTACAAATCGCTGCATTAAAGCATCTGTGGTTAATATAGTAAATCTACAATTTTGCAGCATACCAGTACTTAGATGTGGTGGCAGCATTGGTTTTCTTCAGCCAAAGAACATTTTCTGCAAATACAGAAAAATACCTGTTGATCCTGCCACGTTTGAGATTTCCGTTCAGTGACAGAACCTCTCCCCTATGTTATGTAGATGAGGATAGAGGAATGTGATCTAGTCCTGTTCTAGGGTGACAACACTGCTCTTCCATCGATAGAGAAGAAGTGTTATCACCCTAGGACAGGTAGCGTGTTACCGTGAGGATCACCAAGTGAAAATAATTGGGAGAACCTGAAAAACAAAATGCAGCCATCACATCTAAGGACTGGTAAGCTGCTATGCATATTTCTCTCATCTATTAAGGCACACAGCTCTGAATAATTGAGATGTAGGGTTATGCTGCTGCCTTTAGGCCTTTAGGCAGCAGCATAACCCTACGTTTTATAATTTTTCACAGCTGTGTCCCTTATTGGACTCGGAGAAAAGGATTTTACAGTAAGAACTAAATCCTATTTTTTGTACTTGGGTTTAGTTGCATTTTAGATCCAGCAGTCTTCTGACTGGTCATGTGACATCCCGGGTTCCTGTTCCTCTTTTGGCTGGACTTCTTCTATTGCATGCCGCTAAAGACCTATAACAGTGCCCTCCATACATTTCATGGGCTGGTTGTTCCCTTTTTCTTTCAATAGGCACTTCAGAGAGCGAGCCAGATCATCGCTGAGATCCGGGAGACACACCTCTGGTGACCAGAAGATCGACACACCAGACACATCACTTAAAACCAGAGGAAGCGCGAGTCGTACACACGGTAGAATTTTATTTATATCAGAAATCCCTGTGTATTGGAGGATCGTGTCCAGGAGGGAACCTGCTCTTCCGAGCAAGAAAAAACTTCCACAGTTACACAATAAATATGTCCGGCTATTATTCCCTTCTCCTGATTTCCTGTTGTGATTCGAGCTGGCCAACCATTGTGACGTTGGAACAAGAGCATGCTGGGAAGTCTAGTCACTCGCCTTGGCTCACATAAATCTCTTTTTTAGGTGACGTGTTTTATACAGGACCCGTGCAGTTCTCCGGAGTAGTGTACATTTTTGTTTTATCATTTGATATTACACTGACTAAAATATATTGAAAGCCCTTAAAATAAGAATAATAATAAAGTTCTGAATATTTTGGAGGCGTTTCCACTTGAAATGTTATATTTGTTAGGGGCAGGAATGTTCAGACCGGAAGAGGTCTGATGGCTTTCAGAAGCTTGGCTGCCATTCTGTGATCCTTATGGAAGTTTACCTTTTTGGTGGTGAGGAGATAGAAGGTCTGTCAGGTTTTTATTTTTGGGGTCCCTGCTGTGGAGATTCACCATCTCCTATTTGTCTTGGTGACCAGGATTGAAAGTAAGGAAATCCCAAATTGTTACTGGTCACCAGAACAGGAATTGTGGGTAAAATATTGCAATGGGGACATCTGTTCCCATGACGATGGTCTCTTACTTTGGACAGAGTCTTCTCCTTTCCTGTTGCGTCTACAGGACAGGAAGTGAAGGAAAATCTCCCCTATACAGTTGGCAAAAATAAAAGCTGACAAGTGTTTTAACCGTTCCCTATTCTCCCCAAAATGGAAAGCTTTAGATATCCTGTAAAGGGAGTATAGCAAGACAAAATGGACGTCATCTTGTCAGCTCCAGCTCTGGGCCCCGGTTATAATGTGTTCACTGAACCAGTGATGTCCTTATAAATATTTTGTGATGTCGCCGAGTCATAAAACGGTCAGATTCTATTGGCTGCTTTGCTGGTTTACAAAAATAGTTTGGCTACAACTTGGATGTTAGTCACCCTACACTGCGTCTGTATATTGCTCTATACATAAATGACTGAGGCTTGTGAATAAAACCAAGCCCATCACCAGCCAAAATCTTTTTTTTAGTTTTGGATAGAATAAGGAAGTGTTAGAACCTCTGTGTCCCCAGTGAGATTTTCTCTCACTTCCTATCTAGTTGATAGGGTCAGAGACACGAAGTCATGGGAAGTCTCTCCAATGTATGTACAGCAACAAAACCTGCTTTGGGTGGGCCCATTTACACCGTTGCGTGTGTTGGAGCAGACCGTTCACTTTGAATGGGCCTTTAACATGCAAAGTGATGCGCTTACACTATTCTACACTACACAATGCACCTCACCACAACCATTCAGATCTGTGCATTGTGCTATGCTTGTAGCATGGCTGTTTGTTATTATTGTATATGGGAGTTGGGGGTGCCATTATAAATGAATGCACACATGTATTACCCCAGGCGCAAACTTGTGAATCCAGGCTTTTATGAAGGGTTCAGCTAGTTGTATTGCAGTAATGTGCACTGCCATTTTGTTTTCAGTGGACTAAGGCACCAGTGTTGCAGTGCACTAAAATGCACATGCTATCCGTGTGCTGGATAGGGAAAAAGGGTTGTGAAAAAGTCAATTGTGGTGGATTGGCAAGCTAAATATATGGGCTACCTTACCACAACGCATGGCACCTCATAACAATAGACCGTGTATATATGTGAACCTCGCCTGTATAGAACAGGAAAATGTTAGAGGTTCTCTATACCCTATTCTAGTGACCCGTTTCCTTTAGTTCTGGTGTCACTGAGATGGAAAGCGGGAGGAAAACATTCCAGTGGTGACAATACGATTGTACTCTTCATCCACTTAGCCATAAACAGCAATAAAAAGAACTTTATGGTAAAGTCGTGTTGCTGGTGCTGAAATGGCAGCATATGATATTTATGTTGCCGTGTATTGGAACCAGGAAAGGCAAATGACACTGCTGGTAAGTATTCAATGTTCCATTCTGTGTGCACTCAGTTTGGTTTGCCGTAGCTCCAGCACAGAGTGATGGATTCACATTGGATGACTGCACAGATCTGACAGAAGTAATGCACACGTCTCTTGTATTTAGATGATATTTACTTATCCCAGAGTTCAGCTTTAAAGGTTGTGAGCGGAGTCTTTTTTGCAGGGAATCCAGGCACAGGCAACAGCCTGGCAGAGGTTCTAACCCTTCCCCAGTTCATCTACATCTGATGAATCAGGAACTGTATGTGTTTTGGATGGTAAAAATCCACATTTTTTTGTTTTTAATGACAGATTACCTCATTTTTTTCCCCTGAATCGTAAATTGTACTGTTTTCTTTGTCAAGCTTTTTAGCATAACAGCCAGTGTCGCATGGACGCACTCGTAATTCGGGTCACTGCTAGGCAGCTTGCACCAGGGTTCGGCCATCTTATGTCACCTGACCTTTTATTTGTGAGGGAGGGGAAAGCACCGCTAACACTTAGAGGCAGCTGCATGATTAGCTGTGTTTTTGTTTCAGGCCTCCCAGAGGCGTCCTCCGTTGTAATATACCTCTTTTTTCTTGGTGTCACCGGGGTTGTCATACAATAAAGGGACCTGTGACACATCCCTCATTGTCTGATTCCAGTCTATGTGTGACAGAGGGGAACAGTCGTTGCCACTTCAATACTGAGACTTCATGTATGTTCTGACTTGTCTGTGTTTATCATTGTAAATAAAATGGTCGTGCAGAAAGTTTGCGTCTCTGACTTGCTGCGAGTAGCTGCTTTTACCTTGTGTCTTCTCTCTTCCTGCAGACTGTCAAAGGGGAATTGTAATGGTCACCCAGTATAATAATACTTGAAGCTGGACTCCAGGCAGATATCTCTTTATTTATTACAGTGGACCTTTACCCCTTTGACAAAAAAAATCACATCAGCATCTAGCTAGCTCTGCATGCTGATAGGAAATCCTCTTACATTCATTAGTTAATAAAACACTTTTATTTTACTTACAATTTTTTTTCCCCACTGGCACAAATAATGTAATTGTACCCAAGCATTGCATCCTGGGTTACATCAGCATTGCTGGGAGATCTCATCTGATCTCAGGGAAAGGCATTTTCCTTCCCTGAGATGATGTGCACGGTCACATGTCCTGGTCACATGTCCTAGTCACATGTGCCAGATTTCCAGGAAGTAAAGGTATGTGGATTAATCTGCCCTTAGTAAAAATGGCCACTGTGAGAAGAATGGGGAGGAAAATAAAAAGCCGGCAATTATCTAGAAGTATGTGTTTGTAGATTGTCATTACTAAAAGGTGTGTTGTCATTTCAAAGATCTGGGTAAAGGTCCACTTTAAGACACACAATTAAAGCAAAACCGCAGAATTCTTTGTTAAAATCTGCAGTGTAAATATACAGTAATACCTTGGTTTACGAGCATAATTCGTTCCGGCAGCATGCTTGTAATCCAAAGCGCTTGTATATCAAAGCGAATTTCCCATAGGAATTAATGGAAATTCAGATGATTCGTTCCACAACCCAAAAATATTCATATAAAAATGATTACAATAGAGTAATATAATACTGTACAAAATATAAAAGAAAAATAAACCGATTACCGGTACCTTCGTGGCTGGTGTGAGGGGGACAAGAGAGAGGAGGATTATTGTGTAGGACGACTTTCACTATCACTAACGGAAATCACTGCTATCTCTTGGCTCAATGGAATCTTTTTAATTTTGTGAAACCTTAACAAGGAATCTATCCAATGTGACATTGCATTGTCGTTAAACAGACTCATCGCTCGCACTGCTACAGCCTTATTCGGTGGTGCTTTTCTACAAAATGTTGCTCTTATTGCAAGACATTGCTTGTATATCAAAGCAAACATTTTCAGAAATGTTTGCTTGTCTTGCAAAACGCTCTCAAACCAAGTTACTTGTAAACCAAGGTATTACTGTATGTGAGAAGGGGTGGTCGTATGTATGTATGTTAGCTACTGTAATATTTACACTCTCCTTCTGACTGGTGACAGGATTACTGCGGTACTCATACACAGAAGCCATACCACTGTTTGTCTGCTGCTCCTTAACCTCCATCATTCTCAGAAGGCTTTCTATTCTGTGAACCCATTTAGAGAATACAAAGCATGCTATCTATGGTCCAGGGTATAGGAGGAGTGGGCACATGACACTGGATTCTGTGTAGGAGAGCCCACAGCTGTCATGGCTGCTCTCGCTGTGCTTCTGCTGAATGAATGTGTCAATATTACAGTAATCAAAAACACAGTGATATATGACTTGACTTGTGTTTTCACTGAAGATTAAAAGGGAACTATGGGGTAACCTTTTTTAGCCCATAGTTCTCTGCACGGTCACAGTAGGACATATACTAACATCCTCCTGTGAGCCAAAGCAAGCTATTCCCCAGCGATATACTGAGAGCACCGCAGCTGGGTGGATCCCTACAATAGTGTCGTGATCCACCCAGCTGTGTGAGTGACAGTTGGCTCTGCCTATCTAGATGCAGATCCAGCTGTGCCCGCACCCTCCCCCGTCCGTTCCGCCAGTCAGCGATGAAGGATCGGAGAGAGGGGAACGATGGCTGACGGTCACTGCTCTCTGCAAGGAGATGATCGAGAAGTGAGCGAGTGACAGTATGTGTTCGCTCACTTCCCGATCTATAGAGCCGATGTGTGACAGTTTAATTGTCATAGGTCGGCTCTAACTATGAGGATGAGTGAAAATCGCTGACCTCATAGTTCTTTTCAGAAAAAATGTTTACACTGCAGATTTTTTTTTTAAATATTCTGTTTAAATGTGTTTTTTTTTTTTTAATGTAGGTGCCTCAATTTGATCTGGGATCAGCCTCTTGCAGTCTCTGTGCAGATCTCAGACTGGGAGAGGGAAATGCAATACTAGGGAACCAATCAGGTGTGCCACACTGCAGGGATCAGAAGAGCTCAGTAGGCTGCTGCTATTTCTTTAATTTCCCAATCACAAGTGGGTGGAGGAGACCTGTATGTTAACTGCAGCAGAGAATAACCAGGTGTCCTGCCCTGCCATATGGGGGGCTGTGCAACTCCTAGGACTAGGTGGACAACATTTAATAATCCTTTGGCAGGTTAAAATGTTTCCAATGTATGTATTTCATCTCTGGATTTAGTTGTTTCTAGAGTTCATCTTGAAATCCTTGCACTGATTGGCTGAGCCTGTGGCATTTAGTATGCTGCATTGATAAAAGATACATAACATGTACGGCTGTAGATCCAGCCCTTAGCTGGCTCCTATTGCTGTGGTACTTACTCCTCAAGCAAGCTCTAGTTTCAGGGAACCGAGGTTACCATAGAAGTCTTATTCACATCACAAGGTGTAGGTGTCAATCTTATGCACCACTGCCATGTATCACAGTGCATCTGACTCCTCTGCACAAAAATGTGACATGTCCTACTTTCTCCTCCTCAAAGTGCCTTGTTGTATTGGGATTGGTGAATATATTGGCCCTCTAAGATCATCTTATTTTCTGCCTAGCACAAAGGCTCAAATCTGAGATGGCTTGTCTGTAAAATGTTGCAGGCAAGGAGGAGGCCCTAGTCAACCTTCCATGCTGACTGCAGTGTGTATCTTTGAGGAGATCAGTCGGGGGGAACTTCTACTCATCCTTTCTGCCTGTAGCCTAAAAATATTATTTCCTGGCTCTAGTACACTGGCCGTACATTTCTCAACCACCAGGAAACATATTACTATTCTTTGTGTACCTGCATGTGTAACAACTAGTTTTACTGTTTGGAGAAGTGAACAATCTAGGCCAAAATAGCTGATATGGAAACATTCTCCAATTCAGCTCACTTTCCAGTTCAGCTATGTTGTCCTAGATTGTTCCCTTCTCCCTTTTGTGAATTAATTTAAAGACAGCAGTGACAGATTCTTTTGGCTGCCATTCTACATTTGCTGGGGCAAGTGAGCTCCCCAGATGCAGTACTTGATCTGAGTGGTGAACTGCCATTCACCCCTATGTAAGCTCTGATGGGGTTACATTCAGGGCTGCAGAAGAGGCGCATAGTAAAGGTGATCATCAATGGGTGAAGTGGGGTTTGTTTTAAAAAAAAGAAAACTTGTAATTTTTTTTCCTGAATGTGATTAAAATTAGACATTTTAACCATTAATAGCAATGCAGGAGACTTGCCAATGCTTAGTGCTTTCATGTAGCAGCTCAGATGCCCTCATCCTCTTCTCTACCCTGAGTCATAGCATGCAGGTCCGGTGTCCTGACATTACTGGGTACAAACGTATTCAATGACTAGGCAAGGAAAAGGGACGAGCCTGAACCTTCTAATATCACAGTAGAGCTGAAAGCTTCCCGGGTCCTCTTTACTGAACGTTAGACTAGACCCCCCTCCTCTGCCGTTCTCAGCTAGCTTCACAAATCAGAGTCCATGGACACTAGTTTTGATTAAATATCCAACTGATCCAGTTTATTAGAATACAGTTGTTCTGATTCACTTATGTACAAAACAGGTTCTCACTTAGTGAGAGTAACAAGCCTTGTGTATGAAGCCAGAGCTGGGCTGGGTACACACAGTGCATGGAGTGTTCTCCGTCCTCACAGCTGCAGCCACTTCACAATGTAGAAGTTCTTCTTCCCCACCTTGATGAGAGACAGTCCGTTCCTGAGAATGTGCGTACCGAGCACAAGAACTTCATCTGGATTGGTCACCTTCCTGTGGTTGAAGCTGACTCCGCCATTGCTGATTATTTCAAAGCTAGAAGAGTCAACACTCTCCCATTAAGTGTCATAACAAGCAGTTCATACAATATAGATTACAGTATAATCCGAGTCTCTTCCTAATCTCATGTCAGTCTAATTAGTCACTGCACATCATTGTTGTAACATTTTAGGCTTCCAGTACTGCTTGAAATCTGGTTTAAGGAGGCAGCCAGCACTTCCAAACTGGAGGTGTCTGGGATATTTTAAGGGCTTCAAACAGCAGGTTGAAGCTCGCTGTACACATTGATCTTCAGTCTAATGTTTGCAAGTTGAAGCCACTAATCTAAGCTGTACTAAATAAATCCCAAAGTGTTTATTCAGATAAAGACCTAAACTAACCAAGTCAAACTTTGAATTCCTGAAGCCTGTCCCCTGAGCCTCATAGTTGTATATCTGCAGCGTGAGATTATCTAAGGCACTGCTGCCTCTTGACTTCCGGTTTTACCAGATTCGCCGGTCACTTCGGTGCTGCTCACTGTTCTTACTGGAGAGGAATCTGTGCCTGAGAACCTGCAGTGCATGGAGCTCCCTGCTTCATTACATTGATCTGTGCTTCCTCCACCTCCTGCTGCTTCCTGATCATTACCACGCCTTCACACAGAGACACCGTGTGAAACAAGGCATGGTAAGTCAGTAATAGGAAAACGTGACTAGTCCTATGCCCTCCACCTGCCTTTTTTGCAGCAGAGTCTCTACAGTTCAGGTTCTATTATGAGCTGAGCCAACATGGAGAAGACAAATCACCACGTCATGGGCAACTAATAAACTGATGTCCTCGCAATGTTGCTTGCAAAGGATGCAATAGAGTAGAAGGGCAAGCCAGGGTACCGCAGGTGACATGTGGCTACTGTATGCCAACATTTTATCATGCAGCACTAGAACTCCAGAACTAGAAAAGTGTCCCAGTCCTCTGCAAGATGGACAACGCAATATCCTGGTTATCACCAAATAGTAAGAAGTACAGGCAGTCCCCGGGTTACAAACATCCGACTTACATCCGACCCTACTTATTATCGTACTGTAGGGGGTCCCTGGCTGCAGCCAAAGTGTACTGCGCAGCATTTCAGTAGCCATAATGCTACCGCGCTCGTGCCAACGAGGAGTGCCCGCCTTTTTGGGTCTGGTTCGTCGCTTCCGGGTCACTGTTGTCTGTATCCTCCGTAGAAAGATTTAATCTCACATCCTGCCCTTGAAACAACAGGAAGTGAGCCAAAATCTACCCCTAGGAAGGGAAATTCACTCCTGTAAGAGCTATCATGGTAAAAAGGTTATCACCAATCCTTGTTTCCAATTTTCAAAATCCAATTGTCACAGGGACAGAAAGTGAGGTGAAATCTTCTCAACAGGGGCACACACAGCAAAACAAACTTTACAGGGGGTTAACCCTTCCCTATGCTATCCAAAACTAAAACAAATTTTTGGGCTGTAGTTACACTTTAAAAATGTACCTGTTCCAACTTACATGCAAATTCAACTTAAGAACAATCCTACAGTCCCTATCTTGTTCGTAGCCCGGGGACTGCATCATGTACATGCGGTTACCAGCAGAGGTGGTTCTCAGATCACTCTACATCGAGGCAGTATGTGACACTTGTGTATACCGATTAGCAGGATGTCACAGTGGACATCATCTCATAGATATCCATAAAACAAATATACATACCCACGGGCCCCTTCTGGGATGGCAGAGGCATTTAGACAGGCATCTAGAACTCTGGTGCCGGGTTCATGCAGCAGTTCAGTGAATGGGGCTTCCTGGAAGAGCTCCTGCAGCTCCTGATCAGACATGGCTTCCAAAGCATCAATACTGCTGTGGTACAAGGCCTGGGTGCACCTGAAAGCAAACCAGTACAAAGATCAGACTTACCAAGGTTTCTCCTCCTCTACTCGGCTTTGATTTTGCCCTTTTCTGTAAAGTATACTTATAGGACTACCGTAGGTCGCTAGCTTGATGCCCAACTGTCCCACACAGGTGGGGAATGCTCACAGTGGAGTCAGTCTGCTGCCAATTTAGTCTGGTACCAGGAAACCTACTAGTTTGTCTTTTGAGGACCAAGAGGAACCCAACTACACCTTCTATGTAGTGTTTATGGACACCAGAGCCAGAACTACACGGTCACGGTGCTAACTGTTCACCAGGCTGCCTGATCATTTGAAGTAGACCTCTGGAGGTAATGAGGGAATGGTTACTGCAGAGCCTATGTGCATGCTAAGAAGCATGTGCTAAGGAAGGGTTTCTGTACACCATTCTTGTATGTACCTCTTGACAAAACACATGGTTTACCAGCCCAAATCTGCTCCTCCAGTCCTGGCTGCTGGCCTTCCACCTGTGCTCTTCCACACCTCCATAGCACAATCTCATCTTCAAAGAAACCAAAGCCGCATTCTAAAAGCAATTCCACAGATAAAACTTGACTTGCTAAGAGTGGATCTCGCTCTTGACTCCCAGTTCAATATAGTTGAATCTGTGGGATTGCTTCCAGAGTCTGGCTTTCTATGGTGAGACGTTTACCAAGTACAACCCGATGAGGATCAATCATAGACCATTGCCCTTGACGTGCTGACATTTAATACCAGTTGTGTACTTCTGTTTTCCCAACCAATCCCTTCAGTATATAAGTAACCAAAAATACTATACAGTTTTGTATATGAATTCTTACTTGCAAACAACACAAAATACAGTTTACCACTTTTGATGTGTTTGAGATAAGTCTTTGGCGCAGACAGAGCTGAGAGCCGGCTGGTTGGGGCAATTCTTTCCAGCGGGAACATGGTTAGTACAAGTGCTGTCTAAAGTGGAATGAAACCTTTACGCTTGATAGATTTCAGCGCAATTCAGACAGTTGCTTCTATTATTCATCAAACAGACCAATTTGCATTTTACACAACAAAGGTCCTTAGAGGTGAAGCCTCAAATCCCAACACTATTAACTCTACACATTACATCTCTCTAATCCTCTGAAAGATTGTACATGTAATGCGGCAATTCCAGGCCTGAAGCAGCTGTATTCCTGTATTGAAGATCTCAATTACTGACGTGGAAGAATCACACAGCAAAAATGTAAAAAATGTGTCAGTCATTTATGAACAGAACCTGAAAACTAGCTCAGTCATGAAGGGGTTAAAAGGGAATTAGTCTTTCCCATTGAATTAAGCTGTAATAGGTGTGGCTGGATTAGACATGCTGATGTGATGTCTTCAGTTGGGGGGAAAACAGATCACCTTGAAGTAAACCTATGCTTTGCCAAGCCGGGTAAAAGGAATAGGTTCACTTTAAATGCATCAAAACCAAATATGTCATATATTGCAGCGACTGTCCTTTATTTTTACCGGGTGATCCCGCCAGTAACACACTCACCGTACTGTATCTATGAAGACAGCCATGGTTGTCACCCAGATTGGACGCCAAACACAACTTTCTCTCTTAGGGCTGGTTCACACCACAAACAGTGCAATACAGAATGGTCAGGCTCTGGAATGCACTGTATCACACTACAGCCTCCCTGTGTTCTGGGCCGGGAGGGGGCACGGCAGTGCATTGAAGTCGATGGCACCGCACCTGAACGCGTGGCACGTTAGTGTCTGCGTTCCCGGTCCAGTGCGCTCTGCAAAATTAGTGCAAGCACTAATGTGCCACGCTGTGGGCCGGACTGGCTCCCGGCCCAGAACGCAGGGAGCCAGTTGGAGTGTGATACAGTGCGTTCCTGATCCTGACTGTGTTTGTGGTGTGAACCGGCCCTTCATCTCACGTTCAGTTCAGCTCACAGGAAACAACAAGGACACTGCATTTCTGGCAGTTATTTTGTGTACTTGCTGAAGGACAGACGGTTCTTTTCACACACAAACTGACTAATGAGACCTTGTTAGAGCAGAAAGCAGAATGTGTCCTCTCACCTCTTGGCCGACTCCAACCCTTCCTTGCCATGGACCAGCTTTGTCACCTCCGCAGCCAGTCTCTTGTGAGGGATTCTCTTCTCCGGCTCCTTGCTGTGCTGCTCCATGATGTGCTCAATTTCTGGCAGTGGGAGGAATGTGAAGAGCTTTAGGAAGCTGCAAAATGAAAATATTCACAGACTAGGTCAGATTAGGGCAATTTGTAAATGTAGGTGGGAAGTGAGGGTTCTGCCGCAAGTAATAAAGTGCTGTTCACACAAGTGCGATCTGTAGCGCTACCAAAGCACAACAATGACAACCACACACTAACATGTTTCCCCTTTAGGAGACCACTAATTTGCTGTTACGGCTGTTTATAGCAATGGGGCTGAGTGACTACAATAATAAGGGGTATTTAACAATCAGGTTAAGAGTTTATTTTGTAGTCCATAAAGTACCCAACGCTGGGAGCTCACTCCTGTGATGGACTACAATCTCACATTTTGGTAACTAATCTGTATTGAGATTGTAGTCCATCACAGGAGAGAGCTTGGAGCGGTGACTACTTTACAACACACACAGGGACCATGAGGAACAAAAGAAGCCACCCTCCAGAAGGAAGGACAGTGTCAGCACCAATTCAGAGATGATTTGAGGATCTACAGCGGACTGATACACAAATAAGATACATTTATGTTAATAGTTAAAAGGTATTTGAATGCATTTTTAAGATTTAACTCCTGAGTTTAGTGTCACTTTAAATGATTTGCCATGTAATCTGCAAGAATAACTCTGTACACTAGATGGCGCCATGGTTCCAAAGAATTATAGGAAACCTATAGTAAGAGTGGAGGCTGACACTGGCAGGCAGGTACAAGGGGAAGGGGGGGGGAGACTAAGGCAGAGCAGTATTGAAGGGTTTAGGCGCTCTTTTACTAAATACAACTCACTGAAAGGTTGTTTTTTAAAATATATTTTGGGTATAGAGTAGGGAATGGCTAAAACTCGTTGGCTTTTCTTTACAGTCTGTGTCCAACTTAAACGAGATTTCCCATTTACTTCCTGTGCTGGAGACACAACAGCAGGTGAGAAGAAAGTTTGTCCCGCCTTACACTCAATATTCTGAATAATGTGAAAGGATTGTAACAAATATTTAAATGATCTCCTGGAAGAATGATCGGACACTTTCTAGCTTCTATTTAAAAGCAGTCCCATTACTGAAAGCTGTACAAGGCTAAAGCAATACGTAAAGTGTAACAAGATACAAATGAAGAACATCATGAAAGAGAAGACTAACAAAACCATATTTGATCCAGAGATTTCCCTGCAGTACTTTGTTACCGCCACTAGATGTCCTCGGTCTGTTGGCCACCATCATTCAACCCAGTTCCTCTAAACCAGGGGAGGGAAACTCTGGCCCACCAGCTGTTGTGGAACTACAAGTCCAGGGGTGTGGACATTTAAAAAAAAACTACTTGTCCAAGGACTAAAGCGGGGGCCGAAACAACTTGTCCCTCATGAAAATCCACTTGTCCTGATACAAAAAAAGAAAACAAATGTAACCATAACCGTATTTAGCAATGCCAAGAAGAGCTTATTGCTCGTTGGTCAGTGCTGTCAGATGACCGCGCTGACCAACGAGTGCTTGAATTTTGAGAGCGAAATTCAGATTACAATGGCACAGATAGTACACCCATACTGGCGGATGGGAAGGACCATTCCCTGAAAGGCAAGTATAGCGGGGGGCGGGGTGGATGGGGTCTGGGCCAGATTTGTGCGGGTAATTCAATTTTTCCAAATTACTTGGGAAAGTGAATTTACCGTTTGGGGCGGGTGCAGCCTTGGGCGATGCCGTATACGGTTGCCTCGCGGCCTCATTGATTTCAATGGGGTTACATCCGCGTGGTAATCTCTGAATGTTTTCAATCGCGATTATGTGCGATAGCGGTGGGAAACTGTGCAATCTGCCTTGTGCGACTGGTGTGCCATTAGACAATAATGGCACTGCCAGCGTGATCGGCGGTGGTGTGCGATTTTGTGACCGCCCGGCCATCCACGCGGTTTTGTGCACGATTGCCGCGTGGTAACACATCGCCCACTCCACTCACACACACACACACACACAGTGCCCCATGCATGCGTTTATTCGCATGCAGATGATAGGGATTGGTTTTAATTTTTTAGATTTTGTTACTTTTTTTTTTGCTTTGTAATATTTTTTTATCATTTTTTTTTACTTTATCGCCTTTTTTTTCTTCTATTTTTATGTATTTACATTTTTATTATTTTTTCAAATTTTATGTTTACATTTTGAAGTGTAGGGGGGGGGGGACCCCGAAGACCACGGCAAAAAGGAAGCCCACGTGCAGGGAGACAGGCAGCCGGGAGCAGTACATGGCCGGCCGCTGGAGCTAGAGAGAGGGGAGGGGGGAGCGCGATTCAGGCAGGTTACGAGTGACTTGGACGGCTGCACAGCCGTTTAAAATCACTCGCACAAAACGGCTCCCACACTACATTTAGCTGTGCTGACTGCCCGCAGCCGGGCTAAATGTAGAGAAAAACTACTCGCCCGGCGCCCGAAACTGCCTGTCCCGGGCGATAGGCATTCCACACCCCTGAAGTCCCATTAAGCACTGCAAAACCAACAGGCATGACTCCCTGAGGCATGCTGGGATTTGTAGTTAAAGCACAGCTGGAGAACTGGAGTTGCCCACCCCTGCTATAATCCCAAATCATCCTGGACCTGACCCAAGCCTGTGACTGGACAGTGAAAGTGAAGCAGGACAGTGATGGGCTCGTCTCTGTGTCACTCCGCTTTCTCCTCCTATCAGCATGCTTCTTGTCAGCACAAACTGATTGGCACTTTGTACTGCATCTGCCTCGCACTCTCCAGGGCTGCAGTACGGCATTGCAAGAGGTTGATACCAAGTCAAATCCAGGTGCTTACACTGCTTGCATTTAACCACTTCATTCCCTGATGTGATAAGGATTGCAACGTTTGATTAATGTGTGTCCTGTATATCTGCCTAGAGCTCAGCGTTAAAGTATTTACAAATCAAAAACATTTTTTTTCAAATTAAGAAATTGATAGAGCCCCGAACAGGGAAATCAATCGATAGCCGACTAATCGACGATCGAAAACGTTGGTAACGTTTTCAATCGTCGATTTTAATCGACTAAATCGATTAACTATTGCAGCTCTAGTTAAAACCCATTTTTGCCACCTCTGCCCCACTGGGGGACACAACAGGATGTGAGAGGAAATCTTTCCACAGTGAGGGAAATCCTGTTAGGTGTCCCCATTGGATTGGATAAAAAAGGTTGCATTTTCCCTTCACCTTCAGTTGTCACCAGGAAAAACAGAAAGGGAAAACTTCCCTAACAGGTAAACAGCAGTAAAAGTCTGGCAGGGGTTCTACCCCCTCACCTCTCTATCCAAAACTAAAAAAAAAATGATTTGGGCTTCAGGGCCGGTTCACACCACAAAGGCTGCATTCCAGAGCGTTCGGCCTCTGGGACGCACTGGAGCGCAAGCTGGCCGGCTCCCTGCGTTCAGGAGCATGGTGGTGCATTGAAGTCATTGGAACCAAAGCCACGCCCCCCAGTCCACAGTGCGATTGCCCGCACTCAGAACGCAGGCACAATCGCATTGCGGCCAGAGGGCGTGGCTAGTGCCATTTACTTCAATGGACCGCCACGCCCCCCCCTTCTCCACAACATAGTGAGCCGGCTGCAATGTGATGCAGTGCGCTCTGTCCAGAATCAGGCCGGAACGCACTGCGTCTGGTGTGAACGAGGCCTTAGTCATATACCTTTCCCTTTTCCTACCTCTGCAAATCATTACGTAGCAAAGCTCGGGCCCGGCGGGATAACACAGCAGTTGAAACAAAGTTGGTGGCGATTTCATCTGCAGGAAAGTCCCTCTAAATGACATTAAACCCATTTAAAGGGTGACGCTCACCGCTCCACACAGCTGTCCTGCTGCCGGACGAAGAACTGATACAGATCAAACGGAGATGTCCTGTCCCTGGTCAGCCACAAAGCATTTCCTGCCGACTTCCCCAACTTATCTCCAGTAGTGCTTGTGATGAGAGGAATGGTGATCCCAAACACGTCTTCTCCTGTGGTCCTGAGAGAGGAAATACACAATCATACAGAGCCCGACGGAAACATCTAGAATACGTGTGTGCGTGTGTGTGCGTGTGTGTGCGTGTGTGTTGCACGCACTTAGTAGCTGGCTCAGGTGAAGGATTGCTGTGGGTAACAACACTTGCTATACCAAAGTCCCAAATCACAAAACTAACACATTGAAATAAATATACGTTATTTTTCCAATAAGATTTCAAAATGATTCATGTGGTTAGAGAGCTTTATCCTTGTGTTGAAGCTAGGGCTGCAACCAACTAATCGCTAATTATTGATTAGTTGCTTGGATCCAGTAGCTCTCTCCTCCATGCTGGGAGGAGGGCACAGCAGGTAGTGGGCGGGTGCAATAGCTAGCCTGCTATTGCACCTGCCCGCTACCTGCTGTATTTACATTCAGCTGCCGTCTGCAGAATCTTGCCACTGGCAGCTGTCATTCTTGGGCTGAAGCTATTCAAGCGCCATGTGCTTACATTACAATTATTAAAAACAAAATTATAAAAAAGGTGGAAAAAAAGTAATTTTGGTTTTGGCCTGACAAATTCTGCTGCGGGAGGTGCGTTGCAGTGTCATTCATTTCAATGGCACCCCAAATGCGCCTCCCACCCACAGTGTGATCACCCGCACTGTACCACAATGCCGTGGGTTCCAGTGCAGTGCGATTGCAAAAACTTTTACTCTGAAGTCATTTTTATGGTTATAACACATTTGTGTATTTTATTTTAAATTAAGGACGGTATTGATTTCATTTTTTTTATCAGATTAATCGAAAAAAATATCTGGCCAACTTATCGATTAGGAAAATAAATCATTAGTTGCAACCCTGGTTAACCAGTTGACATCCGGGGTGTTACACCTACCACATCTTGCTCTACACTATGTCTCTGTGTGGAGACAGCCATCTTAGTAGAGGCAGGGCTTTGCTTCCTCTAGTCAGAGCCACCAGCAAGAACAGTGAGCAGCACAATAGTAAGATAATCAAATCTCCTGAGACTATCAGAGGCAGCAGTGCCTTAGATCTCACACTGCAGATATACACTAGAGATCCTGATACTAGCGACTATTCTCCAGCAACAGGATCACTAGTACTGCAGGGAGGACAGATACCTCCTTTGCATGTGTTACCCTCTTGCCAGCTTCAGTAGAGCAGCATTTCTCCTCCAAAGCCGAAAACGCTGCAAAACCTAACTCACCGGCAGAAGAGTGTTACCTTGCTCCTCCAGCTGACAACAGAGTGACACATGCATGCAGGTGACCCCACTGTGTCCTCCAATGTGATCCTGGGACTGCCAAATTCCCACCCGTGTCATATAGCTCAGAGGCTGTAGGTATGGGAGTGTCTAAGCACACTCACAGAACAGGAAGTGCACTGCTGTTTTTTCAGGAGGGATTCCAGACAGAAAGGTGCAATGTTCTGGGTTCTGCTTAGGTACAACGGTTCCAGATATAACCTAGAACACAGCAAATCTTCACTTTTGGAGCTCAGTCTACACTACCAGTAACCGTCACTTGGAAAAACACAGAGCAGCACAGTCACTAAGTGGTAATCATATTTGCCTTGCAAGGAGGTTAATCCCCATGGGGGTCTCCAAGTTCGCATGTACTTCCTTTTTCTGCAAAACCATACTTGACAGGTTAAGTGATCTGCAACCAAAGGACTTTGGTCTTAGTGGTATATATCTGACCTCTGCAGATGGGGGCCCTGGGGCTACATGTCTGACCTCTGTAGAAGAGCGGGGTTATACATTCAACCTCTGTGAAGAGGGCTGGAATTTTATGTCCAACCTCTGAGGAGACTGAGTTACAGATCAGCCTTCTGCACAGGGGGCATTATACACCTGATCTCTGGTGAGGGTTACACATCTGACCCCTGCAGGGAAGTTGAGGAGCCAAGGTTATATATTTGACCTCTGTGGGAGTTGAGATGCCTGACCTCTATGCAGGGGGCTCCAGGGTTATACCTCAGACCTCTATAGAAGAGGCCTCTGGGTTTATATGCCTGATCTCTGCTAAGGGTTTGCCAGGGTTATACAGCTGACCCCTGCGGGAAAGTTGAGGAGACAGCGTAATATATTTGCCCTCTCTGGTGGTTATGTGCCTGACTTTATACCTCAGACCTCTATAGAGGAGGCATCTGGGTTTATATGCCTGATCTCTGCTAAGGGTTTCCCAGGGTTACACATCTGACCCCTGCAAGGAAAGTTGAGGTGCCAGGGTAATACATCTGCCCTCTGTAGTAGATATGTGCCTAACTTTTACGCAGGGGACTGCAGGGTTATACCTCAGACCTCTATAGAGGAGGGGTCCCTGGGTTATGCATCCACCCTCTATAGAGGAGGCCTCTGGGATTATACGCCTGATCTCTGCTGAGGTTTACCCAGGGTTATACATCTGACCCCTGCGAGGAAGTAGAGGATCCAGGGTTATACTTTTGACCTCTGTAGAATTTGGGTGGTTGGGGGTTATGTACCTGACCTCTGCTGAGGGGAGCCCCAAGAATATATATCAAGCCACTGTAGAGATTGTTCCCTGGGGTTACATGGCAGTCCTCTTCAGAGGATGCCCCCCTTCTTTGAGCTACATGCCTGGATGGAGAGGACATCAGTATTACTGATCTGATCCCTATGGTGGGTGTGACCCCTGTGGTATGGTATTAGAGGGGTACGATATTCCTGCATGAAGATCACACAATGTCTGGGAGCGCTCCCCACCGCCATGGGTCTATGGGGATACACCAGTGAGGTCCATGGCGCTCTCACCTCTGGATGAGGTCATGGCCGGACATAAGGTTGCCCAGTTGGTCGGTGCCCCCCAGCTGTATCCGGCAGCCATGTTTCTGGTGCAGGTAGTAGAAGTCATAGGCCTGGAAGACCTGGTAGGTGAACTCGGTGAGGCTCATGCCCTCCGGGGACTTGAGGCGGCTCTGCACACTGTGCCGGCTCAGCATGGTGCCCATCCGAAAGTTTCTGCCTACCGAGCTCAGGAAGTCCACAGCCTGCCATTTCCGGTACCAGGTAGCGTTGTCCAGGACAGTGAAGCGGCCCGGGGGCCGGTTGTGCCGCTCAGGGGCCAGCGGCTGCGAATTGGTGAAAAGGCGATCCAGGCATTCCCGGAGGCCCCGCACATTGTCCTCCAGCTGCTCCGTACTCAGCGGCTCCCTCTCCTGGTTCCTCCCGCTGGGGTCCCCGATCTGGGCTGTGGCCCCACCAATGACTGCGATGGCGTGGTGCCCGGCCCGGTGGAAGTGCAGCAGGCCCACCACTGCCAGCAGATTACCGACGTGAAGGGAGTCCGCCGTGGGATCGAAGCCGCAGTAGACGGTCTGTGGGCCGGAAGCAACGAGTTCGGGCAGCTGCAGGGGAGCGCTCTCCGCCGGGAACATGTCCTTGAAAAGCCCCCGCCGGGCCCCGACCACCAGAGGGCTAGAGGAGCCGGATATGAGGCGGACGGGCCACCAGCACAGCCGGGGCACCCAGCGGGAAACGTGCACCATGGGCGCCGCCATCTTGAAAGTCGCAGTGGCTGCTGGGTAATGTCAGCTGACCAACCTGCGAGAGCACTGAGGCTGTGATGTGTAGGAAGTGTCATAGGAGCTGTTCTGGTTACCCATAGCAACCAGCCAGACTTCTCAGCTGACTGGTTGCTGTGTGTAACTATAAATGCTCATAGATCATCCCCTGAGAGTCCTATCTCAGATGGGGAAGTCATCACTGAACTTTTTTTTTTTAATTACATTGTCCTACTGAATAATGTCAATGGTCATACGAATGATTACCCATCAGCCCCTCTGCTGGTGTAATGTGGCACTTAGGATTGCAACCTGACTTGGTGTCAGTGGATGCAATACTAATAATAACCCCCAGCATTGGTGTCAGTGGACACAACAATAACCCCCAGCATTGGTGTCAGTGGATGCGATAACCCCCAGTATTGGTGTCAGTGGACACAACAATAACCCCCAGCATTGGTGTCAGTGGATGCGATAACCCCCAGTATTGGTGTCAGTGTAACCAATAATAACCCCCAGCATTGGTGGCAGTGGATGCGATAATAACACCCAGCATTGGTGTCAGTGGATGCAATAATAACCCCCAGCATTGGTGTCAGTGGATGCAATAATAACCCCCAGCATTGGTGTCAGTGCAACTAATAACCCCCAGCATTGGTGTCAGTGGATGCAATAATAACCCCCAGCATTGGTGTCAGTGGATGCAATAATAACCCCCAGCATTGGTGTCAGTGGATGCAATAATAACCCCCAGCATTGGTGTCAGTGGACACAGTAATAACCCCCAGCATTGGTGTCAGTGGATGCGATAATAACCCCCAGCATGTATGGTCAGTGTGTGATGAAATAATATCCCCCACCATTGATGTTGGTAGATGCAATAATAACCCCCAGCATTGGTGTTAGTGGATACGATAACCCCCAGCATTGGTGTCCACAAAAATAACCCCCACATTAGTATAATCAGTGGCAGTGTTTTTTATCCCCCCCACACACTAATGTTGGTGGTAAGTGGCAGTGCTGTGTTACCTTCATTAGTGTTCACTGATCCCACACCGCTCCCTCTCCCTTATGATACGCTCAGTAACTATGGCATTGGTTTTCCACGATGGTAGATTCTTATTCCGGGCTCTGTGTGGTCACTGTTCTCCTCTGAGTCCATCCAATGTTCTTCCGATGTTTGAGCCCCGTTGAGCGGGCAGTGGTTTGGCCCCCGCAATACGTTGGCTATTTTTATATGATTTATTTTACCAACAGTTCAAATGATCCTTGGCGCTTTCCTCCATTTTTGGTCTGGTTCTCTTTTCTGAATTTCTGTAGAAGAATGACATTTCTTGTAGATGAAATTGATCCCTGCGCTCCCCCAGGATTCTTTGTACTCCATAAAAACAGATTCAAATAGAGGAATAGCTTTTTATTCTCTCTTTCTCCCCCAAAACATTATATATTTTCTGAAAGCCAACATTCTGTAGAATAAAATAGTGTCATTTGCAAATTTATATGTTGCACGATATTGGCGCAACTCCTTATCAAACCCAAAAATTTAGGGCAAAATGCACTTAAATTAATTTTAGTGCCCCAAAGCACAATATAATAGCCATTTTTTTGTCAAATGTAAAAGACGAGGTTACGATGAGTGAGTAGATACCCAACATGCTCAGCGTCTGTGAAACGGCAACAAAATTCAGTACCCCAAAAAGTCCATTGATGACATTTTAAAAGCCCCTACGGGTAAATATTGGCCCTAGAATTATTGCTCTTACTCTGGCGCGTTTACGTGAGTGCTCGCAATAACAGCTATGGGACCGGAAGTGATGTAATCCTTCTCGCTCCCATAGATCAGGGAGGCGAAAAAAAAACGAACAGATGTTGGCCGCTCTCCTCCCCAGCTTCCTGCCGCCACTCAACATGCCAGTTCCCAGGCCCGCAGGAAGGGCATCGTAGCCTGAACACACGGCGTGGGTGTTGGGCGCCGCCACTTCACCGGCCTGTAGAAGCGATCTGGCAGCAGCTGAGCTTCCAGAATTGCTTCTATTGTAAAGCCAGTTGTTGGCGGTAGCCTGTTTAAAGGGCCGTGCTGCTGATGGAGGACATACGTCGATGGCAGCGAAAGGGTCAAAGGCTAAATGGCAAACATGAACTGTGCGATATATATGCTTTGCACACATTTTAGAACATCATTGTTCTTAGATCTTATGTCTAGGTGAACTGATCATTTTAATAAATACAAAAATATTTCAAAGTATTTCTCCAAATGAATGTCCTTGGCTTTGGAATGGGATATCCAACAAGCTCACACAATGATGATGGTCCAGTGTCCACAATCTTGTTGCCATATAATCTACGTCCTTGCTGGAACTCTCTTGGCCAGCCATAGCATAAAAAAAGGTTTTGGACCTGAGTTCCACTTGATGTGCCGGAAGGCAACAATCCTTTATTTTTGGGGGGCAGATCAGATCTATTTATTGTACATTTCAGTTCATTCTTCGCTGGCTTTTTATTTGACGACCGACCAATTATTATTTGATTTGTGTCTTAGTAATTAGAAATGGCTCCTGATGTATGAAAAGTCTGGGGGAACGGCTTCTATGCCATGTTGTGGACTGCGGTGGTCTTCCTAATAAGTCGCTCTGTCAAAGGGGAATTTGGTCTCAGGGCGTCTCTTTCAAGTAAAAGGCATCTGTTAGAAAAAGACAATCAGATTAGGAAGCTGAAAATAAGAAACATTGAGACCCATTCCATAAGGAGGCCCAAAGAGGAACCGCAAGCCAAAAAGAATCCAGTTCACAAGGGTTAAAGCTATCCAATATGGATTACAGTACCTTGCCTTACTAAATGGTCACTCCACCCATAACATATTTACTTACTTAGAGGTAGGTGAAGAGTTAAAACGTGTAAAGGGATGGCCTTCCAACAGCAGGCTCTAATAGCATACAAAGACTCCAGTATTATAGCAAAAAAACGTATTTTTTTATCACAAGACCAGTGTCTCTGGGTTCGGCTGTGTGCGCCTGTGTGTGGTTGAAACCGGAGTTGTGACCAGTTTTGGTCCATGTGCACCTCACTTTAAAACTAGTTATGAATTGATAAGTGCATTTGTCACTTGTTGGATTTGGTGTGGGGACACACTGAGGCCTTCAGCTGCCATTGTGATGTGCTGGGCCTCTGGTGTGTCCCTGTGCCATTAAGGAGGATTGGGTTACCTCCTGGCAAACCTGCACCCAATTCATCCTTTGCTATATATGCTCCAAGATGGAGGCTCTCACAGATTAGAGTTAGGACCACACTACACGGAAGGGCCATGATGAGGCAGCGTGGCTTCCAAATATTTTGCAAAAGTTGTGCGACTAAAACCTCTGTTTTTATCCCTAATTGTTAAGACAGTGAAGTTTCTTTCAGGCTGCCTGGCGAGTGTGCTGGGAATTTTTTGCTGTTGTACTGTGTAAAGCCCTCCCATGTGCACCTTGCTTTAAAGCCGGTTATGAATTGATGAGTGCGTTTGCCATTTGTTTCATGTGTTGGATTTGGTGTGGGGACACCCTGGGGGCCTAAGCTGCCATTGTGATGTGCTGGCTTCTGGTGTGTCTCTGTGCCTTTGGGGAGGTTGGGCTGCCTCCTGGCAAACCTGCACCCAATTCATCCTTTGCTCTATACAATATATGCTCCTGGATGGAGGCTCTCATACATTGGAGTTAGGACCACACTACACAGAGGGGCCATGACGAGGCAGTGCGGCCTCCACACATTTTACAAAAATTGTGCAACTTAAACCATTTTCAGGCCTAAAATGTGGAATATAACATGGGTGCAAAAATAAAAAAAGGGCCTCAGTCATGAAGGGGTTAACCCTAAAAGTTAGACAATGTAATTTGTTTTGTTTTTTTGCAGGCTGGCTGGTGAGTGTGCCAGGAAACTTTTGCTTTTGGGTGTAGTTGAAGCCACAGTGGTTCTCTGCAGTAGTGACAGCGTGACTCCAGCCTGTTATTCATACACTTTAGGGCAGGATACAGGTGTGTCAGCCTGTGATGTCACAGAGACTACAGGCACGATGTGCATCAGGAGCAAGCAATTGAGCAGAAATAAAGCAGGCAGAGGCTTGAAGAGACTCTTAAGGCAGTGGTAGCCAAACTCCATCCCTCCATCTGTGGTGCAACTAGAAATCCCACAAGACATTGCAAGACTGACAGGTGCTGGAATGACTCGCAGAGGCATTAAAAGATTTGTAGTTTCACCACAGCTGGAGGGCTGAAGTTTGCCTAACCCCTTTCCAAGGCATTTTATTACTGCTACTAATTTTAATAATCATAATCAGAAGTTTAAATGCTCCAACTAGTCTAGTCCAGTTCTGCGATTGTTCCATTATTACGTACCGTGCTAAATTCTGATGTGACTTGGATCCACTGTTTATTGCTGCATGTATGAGAACTTGGCTGAAGAGGTCTCTCTGAATAATAGGAAATAAATATTTGATGGATAAACCAACTATAGTGAAACATGGGCAACACAATGCAGTGCATCACAAACCGTGCATTGTAGTGTGTTGCTAAGAAATATGTCACATGTGTTTTTTGTCCCCTTTGCCGAGTGTTGGTAGCCCATTCATGGTGAATAGCCTGCCCTGGTGTAGTGCATGTAAACACAAAACAATACATAGCTTAGGGGTGAGTAAGGTCTAAAACTGGGGACTTTCCATCACTTTCTGTCTTGGTGACAATGACAACATAACAAACATCAAGGATGACACTACCTAGAGGAGACACAAACAGTAGTAATACATTTCAGAGGTTCTAATCCTTACCCATTCTATCCCAAAAACAAAGTTTGGGCTTCACATACACTGGAGTAGTGGGGCCCTGAGGACCCAGCCCTCCCATAAAAGCTCAAGCCCTTTTATATGTAAATATATGTTTATATGTATAGTTACATATATGCTGAGTGTATGAAATACTGAAGGGTAGACCCGTCTTGATTCATGTGCTAGAATATGATGTACAGTTATAGGAATAAGATTTTATAAAGACAGGAAAGCACTCACCTGAGCGTTGCTGCCTCCTATGTCTAAAATCTGGTAGCGAATCGGATACGTTAGCTCTATGACCTTGTCGTAATTGCCGGCGTCAAATTCCACAAGTGCCTGGCACAGGGGCAGGCCGAGATTACTGATATGAGAATGTTGATAGTTTTCACCTGGTGATCTATAAAACACCGCACAATTTTCTGTCAGTCCGATGATAGCAGATGTGTGACAAAGCGTCAGTGTCGCTGGGCTTTTCGTTATGTCTCTCTCTCATACAAGTCAATGCGATACAGCTTGAAGCATCTGTCAACTGTAAATGATCTCAGAGGTGTTTCAAACTTATTCCAAATGCAAGCTGCATGTACCCATCAACACATTTCCAAAGCCCGTCAACGCGGGCCCTTAAAAGTCATGGGGCACCGGGGCACATTCTAAGCCTGGTGTCCTTAACATCTCATACAAAAAGAAACGCATAGAGTGCATAAAAGACAAGAAGTGGCTGCATAAGATCAACAGTGTTTTATTACTTTCATTAGAGTAATAAGAGTAATAAGATCTCAGTGTCACCGTTCCAGGAGTACCTACCTGCCACAGCCATTGCAAGGTGGACCGCGTAAAAAAAAAAAATCTCTACATTTTTAAATGTCCGCAGCTCTGTGCTTTACAAATGTGTCCTGCACTCTGTTGGCTTCAACAGTCTGAAGTGGACTCCAGTAGAAATTGATAAAAGATTTTGAAGAGACAAAAAAAAGCAAAACTGTAAGGAATGGCCAGTCATAGTCACATGATCAGCTCTCCTCCAATCGCAGGCTCCACACCACAGCCCACATTTTATGAATGGACCATGAAACGCAGGTTGCTGCTGTGTGGACATACCCTGCAATAAATCGGCTCCTAAATGTTATCTATGCTATGTTTGGTGGGCCAGAGGGATACTCGCTTACGACAAGTTTTGTGTTTATTATTATTGTTGTTTCTTTTGCTACATGTGAGGTTGCTACATACTTAGAAAGTTCCTTCAATGTTTCCAGCAGCTGGTTTGTCATCCCAACATCCTTTGAGCCCAAGGATGACATCAGGAAGTGAAGATCATTGAAAATCAGCAAGTGATCGTTGGTATGCTTCTTTGTAGTTTGGACAAGTTTGTTCCATCTGTCCCCCACTTCTACACCTGAACACACCAAACAAAAGAAAAAATGATATTACTGTCCGCTCAGAACACTGATTCATGTGCTACCTTGGTTTCTCGTACGCCTGAATACGCATATAAACACACATACAATACTTCAGAAAGATCAGATTTAGAAAAAAACATACCTAAATGCAGCTCTGGATTAAATAATAAAACATTATGTTTATTTTTTTTCAAAGACAAGCCGTGTAAATACCTGAATCTGACCTGGCAACAGCATTTGCAATCTCTATACAGCAGCACTTACACTGGGAGAGAGAGGGGCAGGACTGGGAGCCAATCAGGTGCGCTATATGCATGTTGACAAGAATTATGCTGGAGAGAGGAGAGGGGTGACTGCATCAGTCTTCTGTTGCTCTTTCACTGTACAAATCAGAAGACTTGGGGTGGAGAGTGGGCAGTGCTGTACACCTCAACTGTAAGTCGAGTCATCTGCCCAGCTGTGCTGTTTGGCAGATGAGTAATCAGTGTGTATTTTATTGTGGTGCCAGAGAGATCAATGAAAAGTCATAGTAATAGTACAAAGTACAAAAAACCCGGAGATTGATGGAAATGATGTTGAACAAAAGTATGCAGCTAATTCAGAATGGCAGGAATGATAAAACTGTCTGATGATGACTACCAGAGCACTGCTGCCTCTGTATGAGATGTGGAGTGAGATTTGGTGATATCACAACTGTTCTGCTCCATTCATTCTGTGGCTCTGTTTCCTGCCACCTTTCCCTCTGCTTCTTGATTATTACCCCTCCAGTTTTCAAGTTACCAGTTGTCAGAGGGGCCAGCTCTAATATGATGAAGCAAAGCCCTGCCTTTAGCTAGATGGCCTCCTCCACAGAGACACAATGCAGCACAAGCCATAGTAGGTCAGTAATGGGGAAAATATCAGCTGTAGGGAGACCACAGTTAACACCGATGACGAGACATTTCCCCTCAGTTTGGATTATTCATGCATACTTTATACAGTTCGGGTCCTATGTAAATGACAAGTGAACATATTTCTTTTGCCTATTACCCTGACCTAACCTAACCCACGCCCTCCTTCTACAGATGCATACAGTACTTACCTCGATCTGACAGCTGCAGCCTTCGGTGTTTGTTTACATCCAGCACCTTAAAAGGAGAACTATGAGGTGAGTGCTTTTCACTCACCTCATAGTTCTAGCCAACCTGTGACAATGAGACTGTCCCAGGTCGGCTCAGTAGATCGGGAGGTGAGCGAACACATACCGGCGTTCGCTCACCTCTCGATCCTGTCACAGCTCTCTGCCGTGACAGGGGAGGGGTGGGATTCCCCACGCTCCGATCCGCCAGCGCTGACTGGCGGAACGGACGGGGGAGGGGGCGGGTACAGCTGGCTCTGCCTCTAGATAGGCAGAGCCAGCTGTCAGTCATGCAGCTGGGCGGATCCCGGGAACAATTGTCGGGATCCGCTTCAGCTGCGGCGTCTCAGTATACCGCGAGCTACAGCTCTCGGTATACTGAGCTTAGGGTGAGGGGAGGACGCTAGTTTGTGTCCTCCCGTTACCCTAAGGAGAACTATAGGGAAAAGCCTTAACCCCATAGTTCTCCTTTAAGTTTAGACTTCTATGAGGTTGTGCCCCAAGGTTAGAGACAGATTCTTAGAGGTCTATGGGGTTGTAAGGTGTAGGCGTGGCCTAGTTGTAAACAAACACTGGAGGCCGCATCTGTTGGATCAAGGCAAGTATGCATCTGTGGAAGGGGGAGGATGGGTTAGGTCAGGACAAAAAGGGGCACAAGGCATAAAGGCACTTTGTTTTTAAGTATCTTTTAAAGGATAACTGCACTTTTGAAAATATTAAGATGTAGCTTTTTTTTTTAAATGAGGACATCCTTCAGCTGCCCAGGCCGTCAAAGGTTCCTGAGACTAGTGATGAGCCGAACACCCCCGTGTTCGGTTCTAACTCGAACTTTCGAACATGGAAAAAGTTCTAACTCGAACTTAGAACTCAATGCAAGTCTATGGGGGTAGAACTCGGAAATTTAAATGTCCCCATTTTGAAGCCTTATATGCAATTTATTGGCCATAAAAAGTGTATGGGGATCCGGGTACTGCCCTGGGGGACATGTATCAATGAAAAAAACACTTTTAAAAAATACAATTTATTGTAGCCCTGATTGGCACAGTCTTGCACCTGACCTGCGGTCAGGTGCAGGACTGTAGCCAATTGCCGCTTCGGACGGCGCAGTGCATTGTGGGATGTGCCGCGGTCGAACAGACCGCGGACATCCCATAATGTTCGGTGTTCGGCGAACGCTCGAACATGCTATGTTCGAGTCGAACATAGGTTCGACTCGAACGCGAAGCTCATCCCTACCTGAGACCAACAGGGTTCTACTGAGGAAGGCGGGGATGAAGTTTGTTTATAGCTGGCCAGTATTCACAAGCTATTGTCAGTCTTATAGAAGGTCTGGCTGTACAATTACCAAATATATGGAAATAACAAGATTGAATGACAAACCTCCGGAAAGTCGCCGGGAGTCTGTTTAAACAGCCCCGATGCTGGCGACGTACACTGTACGTCGTCAGTCACGAAGGGGTTAATGTACAGACAGATGTTTATTCACACTTGGCAAATGTGGAGAATCTTACCTTCCATCTGAAGTCGATAAAGCAGAGATGAATTGTCAACAATGTCCAGCATACTTCCACTTGTCTTACAGGAGGGGGAGATCTGTGGAGTAGGACAGAAGCAATGGCATTAAGGCTCTAGTCACACTTTTCTACGTTAAAGGCCCACTATAGTGAGAAATATTGTAGTATGGTAAGCGTTCAGTATGCTGCTAATAGCTGTAATGATTGCATTCCATATTTCTTTTCCTTTTGCATTTCACATGGCATTGTTTATATTGTTCTCCACATTTTCATGCACAAAAATAACATTACATAAGTTGGGACAAACTAACACCAGGGGTGTCTACTGGCAAGATTTAAAAGTAACGAAACTATGTACAGGGCGGACTCAGAAAAACTAAAACCTCTGTGTTAATGCCAGGGACAGACTGAATCACTTATGTAATTTTTGACATACATCACAGAAGGTGCTGGTGCAAGGGAGACCAGCTTCCACGTTCCATACTGCAGATGCACCCGTCGGCTCTCAAACCTTGACTAATCACCGCTTAAAAAAAAAAAGCTTGCTGCTAACCAGAGGTTTATTGTCACCATGAGCCACTGACACTGAAGCATCAAACAACAGCAGTCTTGACATATTTCACACTAAATGTGCTTACTCATAAGGACCATTTTTGATTGTGACCTTAATTACATTGTAGAAGGATGGACTTCCTCCACTGTACTTGTCAGGTACTCACATGATTGTCAAACAAAGTTAAGGCTGCCTCATATTCACCCTGGAAGAGAGATAATGCAGACTGTCATTAGATCACATTGTGGACTTTCCCACCAACGTCACTTAATGCCATTTACAGCTACATAATATCTGGTTGATACTGTGTACTGTCATCATTTAACTACCCATACAGCTGGTATAGCTACATCTGCAGTAATAAACATACAATAAAGTAATAAATGACAGAGCCAATAATCACATTCCTGAGGTTCAATATACTGTATATGACAATCAAATGAGTTTCCCCAATAAATGAGAAGACCTGTCATGTTCTCACCCAGATGTCAGTTTTCATTGTAGTTAGAACAGTGATGGTCAACTTTGTAAATATAGAGGCCTCAAGTGGGGGTCCAGAGGGCTGTACAATACTAACGAACAAAAGTTACTGTATGTGCCTCAGCACACGGCTCTATGTTTTCAGTGCGTTGTGGTGCCTTTGATTATGAATCGCACCCAATGCACTGTGCAGTAGTTGCCGGTGCACCACAACCTATGTGCCCTGCGTGCATGCATGTCATAATGCACATTAATGCAGCGCAATGGACCATATTTGTGTAAATGGGCACTTACATTTCCTTTTGTCTTCTTCAGCATTAGTAGGGTGGGACAGATATCCTATGCAGGGCTTTCTATGTCATTCCCAGCACTACAGAAGTAAACAACCTCCTGGCATTTCATGTAATCAGCTTTACAGGAAGCCAACTGGAAAACCCTGTTATTTGTAGACTCCTCTGGCATAAAGATGCGGCCAGGACTACACTGCCGACTCATCCAGAGCCACTCAACGTCAAATTCTTTACCTGGTACCCGACACATGGTAAACCAAGCCCAGGACACAGTGGGCCATGCACAAAGTGGCGGCAAGCCAAGCGTGGCCATCGTGCCACGTATTGCGCACCAGTGCACCAGGAACTGTTGAGGGTAAAACAATTCTTCTTGTTTCAAAGCCATTTAAAGAGGAATTCCAGGCAAACACTCATGACATGTCATGGCTCAAGCATCTGGGTATCACAAACTGCAAAAAAGTGATCCCTATTACAGACCTCCCCAATGAAGTGTTTGAATGAAGAACAGTCTGGGAGACATGTATTGGTTCTGTCACACAGCAAAGCAATACTAAACAGGAGCAGTGAGACAGATCACACAACAGATTCAGTACAAAGTTACAGCTTGATTCATGAATCAGCTGCTCTTAAGTAGAACTGCAGCAGAATGAAACCCAATCACTTCTTGTTTAGAGTTAATATCTGCAGAATCTTCAGTAATAAATCTGTCTCATCTGTCTGCAAAATGTCACACTTGGCTGCCCAGAAATACAGACACACAAAGGGCAATGTAATAAAACTGGAGCAGGCAGAATCTGGAGCAGCTATCTATGCCAACCAATCAGATTTACGTTTCATTTCCAAAGCTTAACTTAACAGAGAAGCTTATCTGTTACTATAGGAAACAGCTCCAGATTCTGTCTGCTCCAGTTGTGATAAATTCCCCCCACAGGTCTTTAAACCTGTCGCAGGGCCTTTGCTCAATAACAGCAACCTGAATTGCGACTAATTGAAGTAAAGTTGCTTGATAAATGTCCACTCTGTGCAACTAATCAATGTCTCTCTTCCAACTTCTATGCTAATAACAAGCAAGGAAGAAGCTGACTGCTAGCTCAGAGGGGAATAGAATAAGTCCTTCAATCAGACAGTTCATATACGAGACCAACATATGTCCAGCCAGGTGGGTGGTCTTACCTTTTCGATGAAATACAAAGCCCAGTGCCAGTAATTGTGGCAGGCAAGCATATCACCATCCTGCAAGAAAACACAACAATCATAAAGATTAAAATAAATAAATATATATATATATATA